GCTCTTCTTGTTCCTTCAATGCCGTTTCTTCTTTCTCGAATTGAATTCTGTGAGAGGCAATAGAAAAAGTTTTCACCTTTGTGAAGAGAGGAAATTAGGGTTTTTTTTGTTGTTGTTGTTGCTGCTGGGATTAGTTTCCGGAGAAAATGAGGAGCAGTCTTCTCTGGAAACCCATGTCCACGTTCTTGGCCTTGCTGGTGATTTTCTTCCCCTTTTCATTTTCCCGGAAAGTGTTTCCCGGGATCGTCTTCCCAGACAGAGCTGTTCTTCTCGAGCTGAACCCTGATGGGATACCCTCGAGCTTGGATTCCGACAGCTCAAACCACTGTTCCTGTTGCGACGTCTCCTGCAACTCCATAGGCTGCGATGCAGAACGAGTTGGCCTTGACCTTGCGGGTTTATCTTCCGATTCCCGTAGTTCAGGAGGCGAAATCTCGCCTGCTAGCGGTAAAACCGCTGGGATTAGGGTTTGGTTGCTTGATTTCAGCGATCTGAGAGGTGAATTACCCCCTGAGATTTCGGGATTGGAGAAGCTGGAGGTGATTGACCTTCAAGGTAATAGCTTTCTCGGGAAATTCCCGGAAAGTTTTCCTGGGTTGGAGGGAATCAGTGTTTTGAATCTAGGGCTCTATCGGATCGTCAAGTCAAGGAACATTGATCTGTCGGAAATGTTTGATCTTAGCCTCGTAAGATGCCTGAAACTGAAGGACAATGCTCTAACTTTGAAGCTTGCTGACCTGGTTAGGGATGATGTTCTTGGAACTTCGAGGAACCGAGTCAAGATCAGGAAACTTATGGGGCTCGACGACGGAGACGAGGGCGCGAATTTGGATAACGGAATGAGCGAATCTCCTCCGGGAAAAGATGGGTTGTACCCGATAGAGATCGCTTCGATCGTGTCAGCTTCAGTCATTGTCTTTGTCCTCCTCGTACTCGTTGTCTTGTTCTTCTACACGAGGAAATGGAAGAGAAGTTCTCAGGTTCAGGTATCTGAACCGAGGGAGATCAAACTGTTTGTCGATATCGGGGTTCCATTAACGTACGAGAAAATCGTCAGGGCAACCGGATGTTTCAGCAACTCGAACTGCATTGGCCATGGCGGATTCGGTTCCACATACAGAGCCGAAATATCTCCGGACACAACAGTAGTCGCTGTCAAGAGACTCTCTGTCGGAAGATTCCAAGGGGTTCAACAGTTCCACGCTGAGATAATGGCGCTCGAAGTGGTGCGACACCCGAATCTCGTAACCCTAATCGGGTACCATGCGAGCGAGACCGAGATGTTCCTCGTTTACAATTACTTACCCGGAGGAAACCTTGAGGATTTCATCAAAGAAAGATCCGAACCCGCTCTCGACTGGAAGATCCTTCACAAGATTGCTTTGGACGTTGCCCGAGCTCTCGCCTACCTCCACGAGCAATGCTCGCCCAAAGTCCTGCACCGAGACATCAAACCGAGCAACATACTCCTCGACGATCAATACAACGCGTATCTGTCTGATTTTGGCCTGTCCAGACTCGTGGGAGCTTCGCAGACCCATGTCACGACAGGAGTGGCTGGAACATTCGGGTACGTGGCTCCAGAATACGCGATGACATGCCGGGTGTCGGAAAAGGCGGACGTTTACAGCTACGGGATAGTGCTTCTCGAGCTGATATCGGATAAAAAGGCATTGGATCCGACTTTCTCGTGCCAAGAGAACATCGTGTCGTGGGGACATGCGATGTTAAGACAAGGCAAGGCCAAGGATGTTTTTGCGAAAGGGCTGTGGGAGAAAGAGACGTCGGGTCGTCGGGATGATCTGGTGGAGGTTCTGCATTTGGCACTGAGGTGTACGGTCGAGAGCCTGTCGACTCGGCCGACGATGAAACAGGTGGTTCAACAGCTGAAACGGAACAGACCCTCTTGAAGGAAGACAGTGTTTGAGAACTGTAACTAGGTCTCTCGGTCTGTATATGGAGACATCAGAGTTAAGATGTTAAGCTTCTTTTGTTCTTGTAGTCTCTTGTTAGCGCTGTTGTATGCTGCTTCTCAAAAGTTAATTTCACTAATTGACTAAAAAGACCCAAACTTTACCGGATTTGGATGATATATAAACCACACATTTAAACCAGAAACCTGAATCTGCTGCATAAAATCGGTGGACATTCTGATTTCAGACAAAAACATGTTCTCTGAATCCAATATAAAATAACTTTTTTAAATTCTAAAAAACCGAAATTGAGCTGAACAAAACCTCAAAGAACAATAAAAACGAGGACATAAACAGATGGGGAAAAAGGGTTAAAATATCATTTTTTTAAAAATAATAGAACAACAAAAAGAACTCAGAATTTAATTTAAAACCCACAAAAGCTAATCTTCAGTTCAATAAAAAGATTTAAAAAAAAAAAAAACGAAACCTAAAGAACAAAGGGATAGAAGAAAGTGTGTAACGCTGACAAAAGGGCCGTTCAGTTTTTTCTGTTTTAATCTCTGTAGATAAGAATTTGTGGAGGAAGGAAATGCTGCTGTTTTTCTTCTTTCTCTAATGTCTCTCTTCCTCTTATTCTGTCTCTGTTCTTTGTAGGCACTCAATCTTGAGACTGAGAGGAAGTGACGGCGGCTCCTTCACCGCCTTCCGGTTTGGCTTTCTGGTGACTACCGTCGCCTCGTCTCTCTGCCCCGTTTCTTCCGCCGTTCCTACGGCCC